TGAACTACTGATGCCAACATTATTAAAAATTACATTTAATTTAAAATACAATTATTTATTTGTTAAATATTTTCCTAATCACTAAAAACATGATGAAAAGTGACAGTAGACAATACATTAACCAACAATTGTGAAAATATATTCTAGTTAGTTTTATGTCATTTCCAAGTGGCCTATTACATTAGCCATGTTTATTGAAGGCTAGAAACGTTTTTGTGATGCTCACTTGTTAAGCAATAGAAGCAATACCAGTTCTGTTAAATAAATATTGTTGCATCGTCTTTCCACCAAATAACAGAAAAGTATCGATAGTGCTGTAATGGTATTCATAAAAGCACTTTTGTTTGTAGAGGGTTAATCCTTTCTTTAATCACTAATCAATGTCAGAAATCAGGGTAAATATACCTGATATATTTTATTTAGAGGAAAATTTTGTTTATCTCATTTCTATTTATGTTCAAATGATTTAATTGAACTGGAACAGAAAATTTAATTTAATGTTTATCAATTACTTTTTTATGTAGTCCTTGGTTGAAAAATTTCTTAAATTTATTATTTTTTATTGTTATTTGGTAATTTCTGAAATTGATTTATTTAATATTTGTTTAATGTGTGTTAAATTTGTTAATTGTCTGAAATAAATTCATTCAATAATTCAATCCAGTTTTTTAGTTAAACTTTACCTAAGTGTCCTTACAGATGGTTAAAAGTGTTTTTGCACAGTCCTAACTTTGAGTGTGTAATAAATTATTTAAAATAATAAAAAAGAAAAGGTACTGAAACCTATTCTGGTATTTGTCTATGCATCACTCCATGCTAAGTTACAGTTTTTTCTGAATGCTTAAACACAATCTTGATTCTTATAGCACAATTTCTAAAACTATTAATACTTATAGCAAATCTACTCACTGAGTTCACAAAACTAAAAGAACAAACACTGCTTTGCACTCAATTTGCAATTTTGTAACACACACTTTGCACAACTGTAGGCACAATTCACCGCACAGCACTCTTTGTGGAACTGTAAACACAACTCAAGGAAGCACTAAACAGATGCTGAAAACAGTACTGGTATTTCGCACGGGGGGGGGGGGGGGGGGGGGGGGGGCGCAAAACTCAATCTCGCCTAGGGCAACCAAAGGGCTAGAACCGGCCCTGCTCGCATCATCTGGTTCAAGGAAGGATGTGGTCTCACTATTTCCAACCGCCACACAATTTAACATTTTGAAAGTAATCTTTTAAAAATTATAGGTTTCAGATTTCACATGTGGTCATAAGATAAATGATTCTTATCATTTGTGACACTTAACGTTAAATAATAAAATAATTAGTATCCTGCACTACCACTGTTGAACATATTGTTCAGAAACAATATATTTAGATTCCATGTGGACTTCTTATAAAGAAAAGATGCTGAGCATCCAAAGATGTTTGCCGTCGTTTTGACCGTGTGTCCTTGGGCCAAAAGAAAGTCGATCTGCTCTCTTGTAATATGAATAGCTGGTCTACCTGGACCACCTAAAACAGAATCATATTCAAATGCATCAGCATAATGTTTACTTTTACATTTGTTTTTCTCTGTCTATATCTGAATATCCTCTAGAGGTGTCCCTGTTTCTACTAAGGGTGACACTGCATTTCACACAATCTATACATTTATTTCTATATACATATTTTTCTATTTCAATTGCATAAACACAAAGCTTTAAACCTTTACAGCAACAAAGTGGGAATCATACGTCTAATGGACACAGAAGGTGATATTCTAGAATACACAGAATTTAAAAGAAAATATCATTTATTTTGCCCACAAAGACGTTTTATATCTTTGATCGAGGCATTTCTGGTAACCATGATAAATTTGGTCAAAGGAATGATTCAATATTCTGATGTAGCACCGATCTTCCACACTTTTAGATAAATACAATTTTACGGATATCAAATTCAGTAACAAAATGATACGAGAACATATAAATAAGGAAAGTTTCCCTCTCCCAGTTAAGAGGAATTTATCTTTAAACTGGAAGTTACAAATAACTATCCCTGTGCAGAGCTCTTTAGTTTATGATTTAAATTTGATGTTGGTGCTTTTGTTAGAAAGACTTAGAAACACAAGAACATCTTTTTTACAGTTGTTGTGTGGTTTAGTCTTTTTGGGAAAAGATTCATGATTTGTTATCAACAAAAAATTTGATTCCTAAATAAAAAGACAGAAATTTGGAATTTTAATGTAATGTTATATTCATTATCGGAAAATGCTTTATTCTTTAAAATGTCTCCCAATTTCCAAGCAAAACGTTTTCATGACTCAATTAAGTTACTGGAAAATAAGAAATCCTTCAGGTTTTCAGATTTTATAGCAGTAGACTTTAGCTAAACTCCTGTGTTACTTGTTTTATTTTGTTTTGCTATTTCTATTTTTTCCTTCTGATTCTTTTTAAATGTTTGTCTGTTTAAGTTTATATTGTTTTTTATCTTATAAAAACCGTTATGGATTGCATCTGTTCAATTGTACTTTTCTGCTCTTTGAAATAGTATTTTGAATTTGTTTAAATAAAAGTTAAAAAAAAATCAAAAGTAAGTGTGAATCAGACATGAAGCGGAGGTGCGCTTTTATTTTCAGAGGAGCTGAAGGAGGGTGCAGTAATGCCTTGTGCCGTCTAGCAAGTCAACATCAAGAGCTAGCTGGCTTTGCTATAATTTCCGAAGAGGCAGATAGTTTTAGCACAGTATTAAAATCTGCATCTGGTTATTACCTGAACCGGCCCGGGCTGCCGAATATTCATTGTTTCCAGATCGGACATGAGTCGATATTCACACTTTCAGCTCCTCTAAGCCGTTTTTGAGGGCGTTGTGTGCGTCGGCAGAAAGTTGATCAGAAATTCTTTCTAAATTTCTCAAGCATTCTTCAAGAACGCGTTTTTCTTGCTCCCGGCATAACCCATCATGAAAAACCCTTTCAATATTGTGGCATTTTCTCACAACTTTGTCCAAAACTGCCATTGAATCTTCAGGCAATTGTTTGAACAGCTTAGTACAGCCAATTAGTACAGCTTACATCTCTTGCTTCAGATATCTAAAATTGCAGTACTGACTAGTCATTATTACGTTTGAGATATCTTAAATTATAATTACCGATGTGTGACACTTTAAATGACGAATCTGGTGACGTAATTTGAGATATCTTGAAAGGAATTTTGACTAGTCAAAATGTGATTTAAGATAACTTGAATTATTATTCTTCCTAATCAGATTGTAAATAGAGATATCTTAAATTACCGTTCCGGATAGTCAAAATGTGGTTTTGTCGAGTCAAAAAGTATTTTAATATATCTGGAATGTAATTATGGATAGTCAGACGAAACCGAATTTATGTTAAAACGGCTTGCCATACAGCTGAAGTTTATCTTCTGTGTTTTTTTTGTTTTTTTTTATTAACAAACTTTATTGAACAAATGTACAAAACAAACAGGTTTTGTATTAAGGGACAGCACATCAGAGGGGGAGATATAAAGACTTGCACAAGAGTCACAATAATTGAGCTAGACAAGAAAAAAAACATTAAAAAGAAAAATTATTTGAAACAGTCAATAAAGTCAATAAAATACAATGACAAGTGTTAAAAAAAAAGTAATTAAATATCAGTAAGAGGTTTCAGGGAAGTATTTTCTATAGTTATCAAGAAACATGTTCTTTTTATTTTAATCAGTTTGAGGGATGCAATCAGAGAGAAAGTGAGTAATGTTAGGAATCGAGTTTGCACACTTTTCTTTGTGAATGAAAACTTTTGCATATATGATAATAAAATTAAGCATATGTTCAAAGTCATGATGTTCAGAGTTATTATAATAGCAGATAACATCTTTGAGAGTTAGTGTGCATACAATTTTAGTTGAATGGAAAAAAAAAAGATTCCATGTCACTCCAAAATTTTAGGGATTCATCACAACTAAAAAATAAATGCAAAGTCTTTTCAGAAGTTCTTTTACAAAACGTACATGAGTCACTTATGTCCATAAATTTAGCAATAATACAGTTTACAGGGTATATATTATGTAAGATTTTAAAATGTATTTCTTTGGCTTTGTTAGAAATACAGTATTTATGAGGTAAGAGCCAGTTTATGCTATCAATATGGGTACGCCAATAAAATTTACCTCTAGGTGTGATAACGTTTTTTCTTTGAAAGCACTGGCGTATGAGTCTATTGTTACATCTTCTGTCTGTTAGCTTAATTCCTTCCAATATGAGAGTGGGTAGACTTTTCGTAAATTTACAGTAACTCAAGTGACTTTTTACAAGTTGAATTATCTTTTAAGGGATAGCATTAATTATCTTGTTAAATTCTCTGAAGGGAACCGGAAAACTATAGAAGGACATGAAGTACTCATAGGAAAGCATATTGCTAGTACTGTCAAAGAGATTAAGGATGTGATTGATGTCTCTTTTAAACCAATTTGTGAAGAATAAGGACTTGTTTCTAATCAAAACATCACAATTATTCCAGATGATAGCCTTGTGAGGTGAAAAGTTGTGGACAAAAGCCAGTTTCCAAGCTAGAAGGGCTTGCTGGTGAAATTTGGATAATTTGATGGGTCATTTATTAGGTAAAAAATTACATTTTAGAAGGAAAGACAGGCCTCCTATCTTATTAACAATATGATTTGGGATGAAGAACCAGATTGATTCAGGGTAGTTTATCTTCTGTGGTCTTCTGCCGTTCAGAGTCACTCTGACGTCAAAGCTGACTGTGGTTAATGGCGTCACTGTGCTACATTTGTTAAAATCAGGTAGGAAATCATCTGAGGCAGGAAGTTTGATATGAACCGGAACATGCTCCAGTAAATCGGTTAGGATGCTATTTTTTTTATACAATATATTTTGCTTAAACCTTGAGAGCACATTTTTGTTATATTTGGACTAATGCAACTAATCCTGCCCCCAATGTGGAAAATGGAAACTTCGACACTTTGTTGAGCACCTGAACGTCTCACCAAGCCCTGCTGGAGGAAGCGGTTCCGCCGCCGCTAGCGATGCCATGTCCCGTCTCAGCGATGAACCCTGGCTCTAGGGACGGAATGGAGCCTCAGGTCCGCGATTCCTTTTCTTGTCTGTGTGATTGAGAGGCTGGGCGGTGGTGGGCGGGAGCCCCGGGTCTAGGTGAGGACCTGGTTCCGGGTTTGATAGGAAGTGTAGGCAGCTAACAGGTCCGAAGGGTTGTTAGCGGCTAACAGGTCCGAGAGCTACTAGCAGCTAACAGGTCCGACGTCTGCTAGAAGCTTACAGGTCTGAGGAATGCTAGCAGCTAACAGGTCCGATGTCTGCTAGAAGCTTACAGGTCTGAGGAATGCTAGCAGCTAACAGGTCCGAGGGCTGCTAGAAGCTTACAGGTCTGAGGAATGCTAGCAGCTAACTGCTAGAAGCTTACAGGTCTGAGGAATGCTAGCAGCTAACAGGTCCGACGTCTGCTAGAAGCTTACAGGTCTGAGGAATGCTAGCAGCTAACAGGTCCGACGTCTGCTAGAAGCTTACAGGTCTGAGGAATGCTAGCAGCTAACTGCTAGAAGCTTACAGGTCTGAGGAATGCTAGCAGCTAACAGGTCTGAGGGCTGGCAGAAGCTTACAGGTCTGAGGAATGCTAGCAGCTAACAGGTCTGATGTCTGCTAGAAGCTTACAGGTCTGAGGAATGCTAGCAGCTAACAGGTCCGACGTCTGCTAGAAGCTTACAGGTCTGAGGAATGCTAGCAGCTAACTGCTAGAAGCTTACAGGTCTGAGGAATGCTAGCAGCTAACAGGTCCGACGTCTGCTGGAAGCTTACAGGTCTGAGGAATGCTAGCAGCTAACAGGTCCGATGTCTGCTAGAAGCTTACAGGTCTGAGGAATGCTAGCAGCTAACAGGTCCGACATCTGCTAGAAGCTTACAGGTCTGAGGAATGCTAGCAGCTAACAGGTCCGACGTCTGCTGGAAGCTTACAGGTCTGAGGAATGCTAGCAGCTAACAGGTCCGACGTCTGCTAGAAGCTTACAGGTCTGAGGAATGCTAGCAGCTAACAGGTCCGATGTCTACTAGAAGCTTACGGGTCTGAGGAATGCTAGCAGCTAACAGGTCTGACGTCTGCTAGAAGCTTACAGGTCTGAGGAATGCTAGCAGCTAACAGGTCCGATGTCTGCTAGAAGCTTACAGGTCTGAGGAATGCTAGCAGCTAACAGGTCCGACGTCTGCTGGAAGCTTACAGGTCTGAGGAATGCTAGCAGCTAACAGGTCCGATGTCTGCTAGAAGCTTACAGGTCTGAGGAATGCTAGCAGCTAACAGGTCCGACATCTGCTAGAAGCTTACAGGTCTGAGGAATGCTAGCAACTAACAGGTCCGACGTCTGCTAGAAGCTTACAGGTCTGAGGAATGCTAGCAACTAACAGGTCCGACGTCTGCTAGAAGCTTACAGGTCTGAGGAATGCTAGCAGCTAACAGGTCCGACGTCTGCTAGAAGCTTACAGGTCTGAGGAATGCTAGCAGCTAACAGGTCCGACGTCTGCTAGAAGCTTACAGGTCTGAGGAATGCTAGCAGCTAACAGGTCCGATGTCTGCTAGAAGCTTACAGGTCTGAGGAATGCTAGCAGCTAACAGGTCCGAGGGCTGCTAGAAGCTTACAGGTCTGAGGAATGCTAGCAGCTAACAGGTCTGATGTCTGCTGGAAGCTTACAGGTCTGAGGAATGCTAGCAGCTAACAGGTCTGATGTCTGCTAGAAGCTTACAGGTCTGAGGTATGCTAGCAGCTAACAGGTCCGATGTCTGCTGGAAGCTTACAGGTCTGAGGTATGCTAGCAGCTAACAGGTCCGACGTCTGCTGGAAGCTTACAGGTCTGAGGAATGCTAGCAGCTAACAGGTCCGATGTCTGCTAGAAGCTTACAGGTCTGAGGTATGCTAGCAGCTAACAGGTCCGATGTCTGCTGGAAGCTTACAGGTCTGAGGTATGCTAGCAGCTAACAGGTCCGATGTCTACTAGAAGCTTACAGGTCTGAGGAATGCTAGCAGCTAACAGGTCTGATGTCTGCTAGAAGCTTACAGGTCTGAGGTATGCTAGCAGCTAACAGGTCCGATGTCTACTAGAAGCTTACAGGTCTGAGGTATGCTAGCAGCTAACAGGTCCGATGTCTACTAGAAGCTTACAGGTCTGAGGAATGCTAGCAGCTAACAGGTCTGATGTCTGCTGGAAGCTTACAGGTCTGAGGAATGCTAGCAGCTAACAGGTCCGATGTCTGCTAGAAGCTTACAGGTCTGAGGAATGCTAGCAGCTAACAGGTCCGATGTCTACTAGAAGCTTACAGGTCTGAGGAATGCTAGCAGCTAACAGGTCTGATGTCTGCTAGAAGCTTACAGGTCTGAGGAATGCTAGCAGCTAACAGGTCTGATGTCTGCTAGAAGCTTACAGGTATGAGAACTGCTAGCGGCTAATAGGTCTAAAGAATGTTAGCAGCTAACATGTCCAAGGGTTTCTAGCAGCTGATGGGTCTGAGAACTGCTGGGACCGGTACCGCTCCCATCCTGGTTCCAGGGTCGGGAGCGGTACCAGGAGCGGTGAGGGTGGACTTCTGGCTGGGCTCCATGCTCTGTTGTTCTTGCTAACTGGATCTGTTTCTCCTTTAGGACCCTGGAGCCATGGCTTCCCTCTGCAGCCTCGGATGAACAGACCTAAGCTGGACCCAGACGAGTCCGCCCACCTGGCCCCGCCCACCGGGGGGGCTCCCTTCTGCCCGTCTCCCTCTCCAGTCATGGCGGGATTCAAGCGAGGGTACGACGGAAAGATCGCCGGCCTGTACGACCTGGACAAGACGCTGGGGCGGGGCCACTTTGCCGTGGTCAAACTGGCGCGGCACGTCTTCACCGGGGAGAAGGTGGCGGTGAAGGTGATTGACAAGACAAAGCTTGACACGGTGGCGACGGGCCACCTGTTCCAGGAGGTGCGCTGCATGAAGCTGGTGCAGCACCCCAACATAGTGCGGCTGTACGAAGTGATTGACACTCAGACCAAGCTGTACCTGATCCTGGAGCTGGGCGACGGCGGCGACATGTTTGACTACATCATGAAGCACGAGGAGGGTCTGAACGAAGAGCTGGCGAAGAAGTACTTTGCCCAGATAGTCCACGCCATCTCCTACTGCCACCGGCTGCACGTGGTGCACCGGGACCTGAAGCCTGAGAATGTGGTGTTCTTCGAAAAGCAGGGACTAGTGAAGCTCACCGACTTCGGCTTCAGCAACAAGTTCCAGCCGGGCAAGAAGCTGACCACCAGCTGTGGCTCCCTGGCCTACTCGGCTCCAGAGATCCTCCTGGGCGACGAGTACGACGCTCCGGCCGTCGGTAAGTAGGAACCTTCAGACTGCTGGTCAGCTGGCTGAATGACTGAAGCAAAGGAAAAGCTAGCAGCCTGGTGGAGCCGCTGATCTTCTCCACAGTTAGCACTTGGACACATCTAGATTCTGCAGATGTTTGTTCTCTGAGGGACGCCTTAGATTAAAAGCAGAGATGAAGCTTCTACAGCGAACAGGGAGCGCCTTAATCCAGGCTTCCATCAGACGCTTGCAGCTTCTGGAGGCCTTGGTGGGTCTCTGTGTTCCAGTCTAAGGGTTCCAGTCTGTTCGTTCCGATCTCGAGGTTCCGGTCTGTTCGTTCCGGGCTTAGGGATCCAGTCTGTTGGTTCCGGTCTGTTCGTTCCGGTCTCAGGGTTCCGGTCTGTTGATTCCGGTCTCAGCACTGCAAAAAATATAAACCTCAATAAGTTATTTTTTCTTAAAATAAGTGTGTTTTTCCTTGATTTGATGAGGTAAAACAGACACTTTGCCAATGGAACAAGACAATTTCCTTTTAAAATAAGAAAAAACTATTTTATCGTCTTATTTCAAGTAAATATTATCTAACTATCTTATTTTAAGAGTGAAAATACTCATTCCATTGGCAAATCATCTTATTTACCTGCTCAAATTAAGGCTAAATATACTTAATTTAAGCAATTTTTTACTTATTTCTGGATTGTTTTTGCAGTGTAGGGCGGTCTGTTGATTCCGGTCTCAGTGTTCCAGTCTGTTGGTTCCGGTCTCAGGGCGGTCTGTTGATTCCGGTCTCGGTGTTCCAGTCTGTTGGTTCCGGTCTCAGGGTTCCGGTCTGTTGGTTCAGGTCTCAGGGTTCCCCTCTCAGGGTTCCGGTCTTTCGATTCCGGTCTCAGGGTTCCAGTCTGTCGATTCCTTTCTCAGGGTTCCGGTCTGTTGATTCCCATCTAAGGGTTTCAGTCTGTTGGTTCCGGTCTGTTGGTTCCGGTCTGTTGATTCTGTTCTCAGGGTTCCCCTCTCAGGGTTCCGGTCTCAGGATTCCAGTCTGTTGGTTCCGGTCTCAGGGTTCTGGTCTGTTGGTTCCGGTCTCAGGGTTCCGGTCTGTTGATTCCCATCTCAGGGTTCCAGTCTGTTGGTTCCGGTCTGTTGATTCCCGTCTCAGGGTTCTGGTCTGTCGATTCCGGTCTCAGGGTTCCGGTCTGTTGATTCCCATCTCAGGGTTCCAGTCTGTTGGTTCCGGTCTGTTGATTCCCGTCTCAGGGTTCTGGTCTGTCGATTCCGGTCTCAGGGTTCCGGTCTGTTGATTCCCATCTCAGGGTTCCAGTTCGTTGGTTCCGGTATGTTGATTCCCGTCTCAGGGTTCCGGTCTGTTGGTTCCGGTCTGTTGATTCCTGTCTCAGGGTTCCGGTCTGTTGGTTCCGGTCTGTTGATTCTGGTCTCAGGGTTCCGGTCTGTTGATTCCCGTCTCAGGGTTCCGGTCTCAGGGTTCCAGTCTGTTGGTTCCGGTCTGTTGATTCCCGTCTCAGGGTTCCGGTCTGTTGATTCTGGTCTCAGGGTTCCGGTCTGTTGATTCCCGTCTCAGGGTTCCGGTCTGTTGTTTCCGGTCTGTTGATTCCGGTCTCACGGTTCCGGTCTGTTGGTTCCGGTCTCAGGGTTCCGGTCTCAGGGTTCCAGTCTGTTGGTTCCGGTCTCAGGGTTCCATTCTGTTGGTTCCGGTCTCAGGGTTCCATTCTGTTGGTTCCGGTCTCAGGGTTCCAGTCTGTTGGTTCCGGTCTCAGGGTTCCAGTCTGTTGGTTCCGGTCTCAGGGTTCCAGTCTGTTGGTTCCGGTCTCAGGGTTCCATTCTGTTGGTTCCGGTCTCAGGGTTCCATTCTGTTGGTTCCGGTCTCAGGGTTCCAGTCTGTTGGTTCCGGTCTCAGGGTTCCGGTCTCAGGGTTCTGATATCAGGGTTCCAGTCTGTCGGTTCCGGTCTCAGGGTTCCAGTCTGTCAGTTCCGGTCTCAGGGTTCCGGTCTCAGGGTTCCAGTCTGTTGGTTACGGTCTCAGGGTTCCGGTCTCAGGGTTCCGGTCTCAGGGTTCTGGTCTCAGGGTTCCAGTCTGTTGGTTCCGGTCTCAGGGTTCCGGTCTGTTGGTTCCGGTCTCAGGGTTCCGGTCTCAGGGTTCCAGTCTGTTGGTTCCGGTCTCAGAGTTCCAGTCTGTCAGTTCAGGTCTCAGGGTTCCGGTCTGTTGATTCCGGTCTGTTGGTTCCGGTCTCAGGGTTCCAGTCTGTTGGTTCCGGTCTCAGGGTTCCATTCTGTTGGTTCCGGTCTCAGGGTTCCAGTCTGTTGGTTCCGGTCTCAGGGTTCCAGTGTGTTGGTTCCGGTCTCAGGGTTCCATTCTGTTGGTTCCGGTCTCAGGGTTCCAGTCTGTTGGTTCCGGTCTCAGGGTTCCGGTCTCAGGGTTCTGGTATCAGGGTTCCAGTCTGTTGGTTCCGGTCTCAGGGTTCCGGTCTCAGGGTTCCGGTCTCAGGGTTCTGGTCTCAGGGTTCCAGTCTGTTGGTTCCGGTCTCAGGGTTCCGGTCTGTTGGTTCCGGTCTCAGGGTTCCATTCTGTTGGTTCCGGTCTCAGGGTTCCATTCTGTTGGTTCCGGTCTCAGGGTTCCAGTCTGTTGGTTCCGGTCTCAGGGTTCCAGTCTGTTGGTTCCGGTCTCAGGGTTCCGGTCTCAAGGTTCCAGTCTGTTGGTTCCGGTCTCAGGGTTCCATTCTGTTGGTTCCGGTCTCAGGGTTCCATTCTGTTGGTTCCGGTCTCAAGGTTCCAGTCTGTTGGTTCCGGTCTCAGGGTTCCAGTCTGTTGGTTCCGGTCTCAGGGTTCCAGTCTGTTGGTTCCGGTCTCAGGGTTCCGGTCTCAAGGTTCCAGTCTGTTGGTTCCGGTCTCAAGGTTCCAGTCTGTTGGTTCCGGTCTCAAGGTTCCAGTCTGTTGGTTCCGGTCTCAGGGTTCCAGTCTGTTGGTTCCGGTCTCAGGGTTCCAGTCTGTTGGTTCCGGTCTCAGGGTTCCGGTCTCAGGGTTCCAGTCTGTTGGTTCCGGTCTCAGGGTTCCGGTCTGTTGGTTCCGGTCTCAGGGTTCCGGTCTGTTGGTTCCGGTCTCAGGGTTCCAGTCTGTTGGTTCCGGTCTCAGGGTTCCAGTCTGTTGGTTCCGGTCCCAGGGTTCCATTCTGTTGGTTCCGGTCTCAGGGTTCCAGTCTGTTGGTTCCGGTCTCAGGGTTCCAGTCTGTTGGTTCCGGTCTCAGGGTTCCATTCTGTTGGTTCCGGTCTCAGGGTTCCATTCTGTTGGTTCCGGTCTCAGGGTTCCAGTCTGTTGGTTCCGGTCTCAGGGTTCCAGTCTGTTGGTTCCGGTCTCAGGGTTCCGGTCTCAGGGTTCCAGTCTGTTGGTTCCGGTCCCAGGGTTCCATTCTGTTGGTTCCGGTCTCAGGGTTCCAGTCTGTTGGTTCCGGTCTCAGGGTTCCAGTCTGTTGGTTCCGGTCTCAGGGTTCCATTCTGTTGGTTCCGGTCTCAGGGTTCCAGTCTGTTGGTTCCGGTCTCAGGGTTCCGGTCTCAGGGTTCCAGTCTGTTGGTTCCGGTCTCAGGGTTCCGGTCTGTTGGTTCCGGTCTCAGGGTTCCGGTCTGTTGGTTCCGGTCTCAGGGTTCCAGTCTGTTGGTTCCGGTCTCAGGGTTCCAGTCTGTTGGTTCCGGTCCCAGGGTTCTGCTTCCTGGGTTCCTTTCAGAACCCACAGCAGATGGAAAGCCCAACACTGAGATGCTTTCTCTGCTGTCAGATATTCACTTCCTGTTTCTAAAGGAAGCTGTGGTTACGCTCTAGAACAGGCGTAATGGCTGTCCTTAAAGCGCCACATGTAACTTATAAATGGAACTAAATGTAATTGAATGTAATGTAAAATAAATGTAACTACTATGTTAAATAACTCATTATTTATTATAATTTATTGAAGTGACAATTACAGTTGCATAGAAAACATATGCTTGCTTGTTTCTCTAACATAAATCCTTTTAAATTTAGTCAGCTTATGAAAACCCACATAACTCCATTAATGAAGGATCAAACCGTCCAAGTGAATAAAGAGAGAGAACATAAAACTGAGCTGCAAAAAACACGTATGACACATGTAGCATTTTTTTAAAAAAAAGCAATGCACAGCTTTGCATCTGACTGATGGTTTGATGCAAACATTAAATAATTACAACAGAATCATTCAATTTTATTGACATAAATTGAATGATTCCCCCAAACATTTCCCGCAGACCATCTTTTCACATTTATGACAAACGTAATATGGGCGTTTTTTTGTGCAGCGCTGAAGCTCCTGCCGCTGTTTTCTGTGCCTCGCCAAGGCTGCTCTACTGCGGGGGAGGGGCTGGAAACCTGCGGGTGGTCTGCAACTTTTTTACCAGTTCACGGATAAAATCTCTGCGTAAGAAAAAAAATAATCAAACAGCTCCTGAACAGTACCAACGCGTTTATAGCTGATCTTTCCAGGAGATTATAAATTACAGCCACAGGTCACCTTCGCGTCGGAGCTTTTACAGAATCCTTTCTAATCCTCTGAGCTAGGGCTGCAACAACGAATCGATAAAATCGATAAAAATCGACTTCTAAAAGCGTTGGCAGCGAATTTCATCATCGATTAGTTGTGTCGCGCGATTAATGTGTCATCCGCCGCCGCCGTCAGCGGGGGAAGAAAAAAAAATACGGCAGAGGGAGCCAGCGCCGCAACTGAGCAAAGGCTGTTTTCAAAAGGCAGAAACGTCAACTGTTACCGATACCGCAAACGCAAGCTGCGTCTCAATTCGCAGACAGTCTGCGCTTTGTAAAGCGAAAAAAGTCGTAACATGCAGCTGTTGTAAAACAAATGAACATGGCACGGAAGCACCACTGTTATGATGCAGCACCTAAAAAAGGAAACACGTTGGAGCCTTCGATGGCAGTGAAGAGAGCTGATCAGCAGGGTGAGCGGCCATGTTTGTTTGGTTTTAAAGTGGGGAAACGTAACGTTAGTTTCTCAGG